AACCTATCAGCAAAAGCTGTTAGGTAAATTTGCAAGAAATAATCGGGTGACTATTGATGAGTATGTTTGAGCATGTGTGGTGTATTGTTTGGGTACTTTGCATGTTTCCCCCCAAAATCCGCCTGTTTGGGGACACGCCCGACCTAAGTATAAGGGGATGCCAAGGCGGGTGATGTATTGCACAACCTAGCTCATAACCGAGCTACAGGCACCAGAAGCGGAATCAGGGGGTTAGGTAGCCCTGTTAAGTGGGCCCAGCTCGTTGCCCCTCCGAAGCCGCTAATGGCACGTGCAGCCCAAATGTAAGTCAGGTCGGGGCCGATGTAACCCGCCTCAGTATCCCCTCATAGACATCCCAGTTCATTAGCAGCCCCCGCGCCGATCCAAGGGTACTCTTGCATTCTTGCCTCCTCGATCCATCCTTCACTCCACTGGATTGCCAGCCCCGCTCGAAAAGCCTCAACAGGGGCGTCTAGGGGGCTTGCATCTTCACCTCGCATTTTTGCTACCGGTTCTGACGGAATCCTCCCCTGGAGTCATACCGTTGGCGATCGAGGAAGATTTAGCCACGCGCAGAGGGGGGTGGGGGGAGCGGGTAGGGCTTCTTAGAGGCTTAGAGGCACCCCTGGTTCGCAGAAGGCGCGGGCCTTCTCTGTAGATGTAGGGCCGTCGCCCTCTAAGAAGTAGCCTCCTTCTAAGAAGACCCCCCCCCCTCCCTCCACTCCCTCGTGCGCGCCGCCAAGAGATCCTCGAGCCTTTGCTTCGGCCGTCCCTCCTCCGATCTTCGGGGCTCGGGCTCGGCGGCCGCGGCGCCGAGCGCGCCACAAGCGACGAGGGGGGCGAAGCGCCCGCCGGAGGGCCCGGGGGAGCCGAGGAGCTCGGGCGGAGGGCAACGGGGGTGCCATCGGCGTTGGTCGGGTTGACCCAGAAGGGGGTCCAGCTCTGGACGCCCGAAATGGGTACGGAAAGAATGGGTACAATGCCCAACAGCAGTTCCTGTTCATTTTGAAAAGGATTCGCTGTCCACGCCGCCGCGGCCTGTGTCCATTTGAGACAGAGGGCCGCCTGCCCAACAGCGGCCGCTGTTGGTTTGGGACAACATTTGCTGTTGGGCATTGTACCCATTTTTTCGGTACCCATTTCGGGCGTCCAAACCAGCGACCAGGGGGTGGTGCACTAGATTTGGTGCAATAGAGTTGTGAGGTTGCAGTAGATTTGGGGCGTGCAGTACGTTCCGGGGCGCACGTGTATTGCTGGATGTTCGCATGCGATACATTGCTTATAAAATTATCCCAGTGCGACCCTACCTAGGAGTTGGAGCCCCTAGGAAAGAAGCATTAGCAGTAACGGTAAAGCTAAGCTAAAGTTAAGCTAAATCTAATTTAAAACTAAGCTACAGCTAAGCTAAAGCTAAGCTAACGCTAAGCTACAGCTAAGATAAAGCTAAGCTACAGCTAAGCTAAAGCTAAGCTAAAGTTAAGCTAAAGCTAAGCTAAAGCTAAGCTAAATCTAAGCTACAGCTAAGCTAAAGCTAAGCTAACGCTAAGCTAAAGTTCAACTACAGCTAAGCTAAAGCTAAGCTAAATCTAAAACTAAAGCTAAAGCGAAAGCTAAAGCCAGGGAGCGCAACTGGGGGAACCGCTCCCAGGGAGCGCAACCGGGGGAACCGCCCGGGGCGATTTCCACTGCCCGGCCCCTTTAAGCCAACAGAGTAAGAACCCTTCTAGGCAGAGCCTGGGTAGGGAACAATGCAATACAGTTCTCCGGCGCAATACATTGACAATACAATTGCCTCAAATCTATTGCACTACCCCCTTTCAGCTGGACCCTTTTAGGGCGTGCTTAAGGGGGTGCCATCAGCGTGGACCCAGACGTGCTCGCGTCGTGACAAGCATCAGGACGGGAGGGATGCGTTGTCGATGCACCGGTGATGAACTGGTGATGCGGCGCGATCCTCCGACCCTATTTGGGAGGCCTCTGCGCGGGTATCCAGACCCCTTCGCGCCATGAAAAGATAATGACGAAAGGTTGTTTTCAGATTTCGGCCTCCAGAGGCCCTCAGCAGGCCTGGGGACCGTCCAGAAACGACTCAGGGCGAAAAACCTGTCCTTCGGGAGGGGTCGGGGCTTCCGAAGACCCCGCATCCTCGCACCCTTGCTATCAGTTTTGACTGCATCCTCTCCTAATGTTGCCTCTCAATCACTTGCCCCCCCCAGCTGGCGAACACCCGAGGGGGCAGGTGGTGGCAGCTTCGGACGGGGCCAGGACGAGGACAAATCCGTTCCAGGGCGTTCTGGAACGGGACCGCGCTGGAAAGGCCGCGGCACCCGCGGCATCCTCCAGAGCAGCCGGATCTGCGAGATTCTCGATGTATCTTCCCCCGATGTGGTCCTCGCCTTGGCTTCGTCTTGCGGCTCGTTTGTCTTCGCCGCCAGTGGCCTTGGAGCTGGCGCGCGCCCGAGGAGCCCAGGGGGCAGCTCGCGGCGATCGCGGGGGCCCTGGCGCGCCTGCGCGGGCGGCCGGCGGAGTGGGCCGCCGCGGAGGCCGCCGTGGAGGAGTGCCGGTCGGACCTCCGAGCGGCGACGGCCCAGCTGCAGGTCGGGGGAGGGAGGCGGCTTCCCAAGCTTGTTGTGAGTGTCCGCGGATCGCTCTCTGAGAGCTTGGGGGGTTCCGGGGGAGAGGCCGGCAGCGCCGGGTGGCCCCGGAGCTCGTTCCGGCACCGGTCCAGCAGCGCCGCCGCGCCTCCTGTGAGATGGCAGCTTGTCCTGGAAGGCCTTTTTTCACTCGTTTCCCAACGCGTGTGCCGTCAAGCTTCCCAGAAGATCCTTTCCAGAGCTTGCAGAACTTCTTCGAAGGACCTTCCAGAAGCGTCTGCCGCCTCGACATCCCAGTTTTGGAGACCACCAGTCGTAATAATTAGGGGGGGGGCGTCACGACCCTCCCAGACGAGCAGTTTTAGACCCCCCCCAGACCAGCCACGAAAGGGCGGCCTTTGGCGCAGACCCCACTGGACCATTTTCGGCCTCCTGGGGCTCTCGCCGGGACCCAGGACTGTCAAGAGACTATTCAGGGTGAGAAGCCAGTCCCGGGGAATGTGTTGCGACCTCCAGGAGGCGACGTCATGAACAAAACAATACGTGGTGGGCCTGGGTATCATAGCGCTTGGCCCCTGACAGCGGAAAAGGTAGGTAGCCGAAACAATTCGGTGAGCCCGGAATCGTAGCGGGAAGCGCGGTGTGATCGCACATGTAGCCGAATTTGAAGATCGCTTCGGTTTCGAACCCCGAATTTCGGTCACATTCCAGCACCCTCGGAAAAAGATCGGGCAGATTGTCGAGCACAGCTTTGGCAACTACGCCCGCTTGATACAGACGAGACTGCGAGAGAACTACCTTGAGCCCCTGGCACTACAAGGTGTGACCAGTCACGAGAGGGGGGTTAGCGGGGGGAGGGGGCGGGTCGCGTCACGATTCGTCGCGGTGCCGCCTGGGAACGCGCAGGGATGGTTCTGATTCCCACACGGCGTTGGCGCGAATCGTGGCGTGACCAAGAGGGGGAGGGGGGGGGGGCGGGGCCGCTCTGAGGCCTCGTGGCATTCTTGGGAGGGATGATCAGGAATGAAGGGAAGGACGTACGCGTGCACGAATCCGTGCTGGTTTCGAACGTACGGCACTGCGCGATATTATCAAGAGGCTGGTTTTGCGGACTGGGGGGCCGTATTCATTTGCGTGGTTTGGCGCGTGTGTCTTTTGTCGGCTCCCTAAGAGGCGCGGGCCTCATCTAGTCAGGAGTAGAACAAACACACAAACACAAGTCATCGTCGAACCCCAGGAAAATATCCGGAAATATTGGAAGTGGGAGGGAAAACGAAACCCAGAAAACATGGGGAACATGGGGAATCCTGGGATTTGTGTCTATGTATGTATATGTGTGTGTGTGTGTCCTTGGGCCCCTTCATCTACGGATGTAGGGCCAGCGCTTTGAAAGAGGCAGGGTTGCTTCCTTCTAAGAAGCGCTCCCCCGTAGTTGTGAGCGGCGCCAGATGAGAAGTAAACTCTGCTGCCCCCCGCAGCGTGTCGCCCGAGCTCGTCGGAGCCCGTGGCGGGCGCTCCTTGGGAGGAATACATTCGGTATCGTTTAACCGATCCCCATCCCCATCCCCATCCCCATTCCTTTCGAGACCCCCACCAAAATTACCACACCAGTTGGGGATACACCGCTCGAAACCCGAAGGTAACGGCCTATATCCCCATCTAGGGGGGCAAATCGGCCAGTGGGGCCCAAGCCACGGCGCTGGGGATGGGGAGCGGTCAGACGATACTCATACATGGACACATGCACAAGGAAATGTAGGCTCCCATGAGGATTTGGCAACGTACTGGAACTGGAGGGGCGACGAGCATCCGGGGAAATCCACAGCATGTCTGGAGTCCCGGAACGCGTGTCTGTTCGATTTCACCTCCCAGGGCCCCTTCGGCTCCGCCCCCCTCGCTTGTTGCGCGCTCGGCGCCGCGGCCGGCGGGGATGATCCTGGAGCATCGGAGGAAGGCCGGCTGAGGAAAAGGCTCGAGGATCTTTCCAGACCTCCGACGGGATGACTTTGCCTCTAGGCCTCCCAGGTGAGATCGGAGTTGATGGGGTCGGAGGATCGCCGATGCATCGGCAAGCTCGATGTGGAGCCTGGTTTTTCTCCGCGCTGGCGTCGCCGATGTACGCCGACGTCGCCGATGCATCGCCGGTGAATCGGCAATGTATCGACGATGTATTGGCGATGCGGCGCGATTTTCTGACCCCATTCACTCAAACCACATTTGGGAGGCCTCGAATGACAAGCAAACCAAACATCTGACCTCTGGGTACCAATACTGCTGCTCTCGGAGATAGCCTGAACGCTGGGTACGGAGGGACTGGTTATTGTTCGAGCCCCGAAGCCTAAACAGTGAACCAGAATCACTACACCAGATCTGCCGTGGCTAGTGTTTTTTTCGGGTGGTGGCAGTCCCAGCTGGTGCAACGGGGCGGGAGGGCGTCCCCTGCTGCGCACCCCTCAACCAGGTCCCGCCAAACCCAGTCCTGCCAGCGTCCAGTGCTCGCCCTGCAGAGGCCCTTTCACCCCGGCTGGGTTCTCCGCGACATTCTGGCCAGACCTCCAGCGACACACACACACACACACGCGATGGAGGTTGCTCGGCGCTTTCGGCCTCTGGGGGGCCCTCGCTGGGCCACGCGGCCGTCAACCAGAACGGCTCGGGATGAAGACCAGATCTCCGGTACCGCTGCGGAGGCCGCCGTCGAGGAGCTCCGGTCGGACCTGGGTGCGGCGGCGGCCCGGCTGCAGGTCGCGGGCGTCCAAGAGGGGGACTCGTTTACACGTAAGAGTTACCCCTCGCCAGAGTGACCCTTGGTGCGGGCCCATTCGGGTCCCCAATCGACGTACTCGATGCGATAGTAGCGTCTTGCGCGCTTGTGTTTGGTCCCAGTTTTGGTCCCTCCGCTGCCCCTGAAAAACCGCGCACCAAAGGTCACTCTTATCCAGGGTCATTCTTGCGTGCAGCCGAGGGATGGGATACTGGGAAGGCTGTGGTCCGGGCCTCCCAGGTCAGGCAGCCCGATTTTCCCAACGCCGGCGTCGCCGATGCAGCGCCGACGTCGCCGATGCGTTGTCGATACACATTGGTGATGCACTGGCGATGCGGCGCGATCCTCCGACCCTATCTGCGAGGCCTCTACGCGGGCATCCAGACCCCCTCGCGTCATGAAAAGAGAATGACGAAGGGTCATTTTCAGATTTCGGCCTCTGGGAGCCCTCACCAGGCCCCGGGGATCGTCAAACAAACGCACAATGGCCTTCGGCCCATCTCGCCACCGTGTTGGGTTTGTGGGTCATAGGCCTCTCGGATGTTCATTGGGATGTCGCGGGAGGCCTCTTGGGGGCCTCGTGGAGGTTGTTCCGAGGCTTTTTTGGAGCCGTTGTGGGGCTTCTTGGGGCGTGTTGGGAGCCTCTTCGGCCTCTTGGGGGCTTCTGGGGGCATCGCTGCATCTTGTGACGGAAGAATTGAATTGTCGCTTCGGGTGCGCTCCCACTCTTTGGCCTCTCTTGGGGCCGTCGTTGGGCTCTCTGAGGCCGTCTTGGGCCGTCTCGGGGGCTTCGTGGGCCTTCTTCGGGCGGTCTTGGGGGACTCTTGGGCCGTCTTCAACGCCGTGAAGTTCGATATGCTAAACATGCACGTTTTTCTATGTAGTGGATGGATCAGTGTTTTCCTTTTGGGGGTGCTCTCGGAGGGGCCTCTTGGTGCGTCTTGGACGCGTTTTCGGCTGACTGGGGGCCATCTTGGGGCGTCTTAGACCGATCGTCCGGCGATTCGGGACCCTCTTGGACAGTCCTGGAAGCCTCTTGCCCCGTTTTGGCACCCTCCTGGGCCCGAACAAGTCAAGCGACAAGACGTCCTGGGGCTCAGTGGGCACGCGCCAAGCCCCAAGAGATTTGGAAATTCGGGATCGGGGCCCCCAAAGGCTCCTCCAGATTCAGAACTGAGCTCAGGAGATTGAGCAACGGACCTGAGGACACACCAACTCGTGCCTCAGGCCACGGTGGCGGATATTAGGGATGAGAAGTCTGTCCCAGCGACTGGGTTCAGGAGACTTGGGATTGGACTCGGGGTGGAGACTGGGGGTTGGGGCCTGCGGGGGGTTCGAGGTGGCCCAGCAAGAGGGAGCTTTGCAGACTCTGACAAGCGCGGCGAGGCCCGGAAGGAGATCTGGGCTTCACGCAGATCTGGATACATTTGCACGCCTTTCCGTCCCAGCGCCGTTGGGATTGGCGGCGGAGGGGGTTGGTGGGACGGGACAAGGAGGATAAATCCTTTCCAGAGCGCTCTCAGAGCGTTCCAAGAACGCTCTGAGAAGGCCGCGGCGCCCGAGACACCCTCCAGAGCCGCCAGATCTCAGAGATTCTCGATTCGATCTATAGGCTTGCGCCACATCCGCCGACCCCCTGTTTTTTATATAGCCTGTATCGCAGGCTGTGGTGGACGCCTTCACGGCGGCGGTATGTGGTTTCATGAGTAGGGTGTTTTGGGCTAGTCGTTGTATCGGGGTCGTGTTCGAGAGACGCGAAACTTGATAATTCCCGATGCCCCTGCAGATGCGGATAGGAGCGAGGGGTTGCTTAGAGAATTCTCGCGGCAGGGGCGCATCAGTGGCGCGCGGGGGACGAAACATCTGAAGGGGGAGTGTAAGTAGTTTGCGCAGATTGCAAAGACTCTGGTGTCACGTCACGCAGTTGGCAGGCGTATCTTTGCAGCGGCACGTGCAAAAGAAAACAACCGAACCGAAGTCAGCGTTGTCCGCGAAGCCTGACAATGTCGCGCGCCACGAAAAGAAGGGCACCCTGAAGTGCACGACGTGCAAATGATGCGCAGTCGAGCGTCCGCTCTGGGAGAGCGGGAGGGAGAGGGAGAGGGGGAACGAAGCTGAGCGAGAGTAGGGCCAGAAGGGGAGAGCGAGAAGGGGAGCGAACCTGATGAGGATGAGGAATCTGCAAAGAAGGAAGCGCGAAAGGAGGAGGAGGAGGAAGAGGAGGATGAGGGCTAGGAGGGGTGGAGGGAGGCAGGGGATGAGGCGGAGGAGGATGAAGAAGACGACAGGAGGGGGACGAAGAGTGAGGATCCAGGCTTGGGGCCCCAAATGGGGCCTCCAGGGGCCGTTGGGGGCTACGCCGGCACCCCGGGAACGCATGTGTGCACCCTGGATTTGGAGACCTTGCGCGGGCTTCCTGACCGCGAAGTCTATCAGAGTCTTCGGTCCATCCCAGCCTGGTTGTGCGTCAGAGTCTCGGGAGTGTTTCGTGGGGTTTCTTCGGAGCGTTCTCGGGGGACGAAAGGGGGGGGCAGTGTCAGAGTCCAGACGGAGACTCTTTGGGATCATTGTATTTGCCGTGGACGCATGATTATCGAAGACGCCTACGGCGAATCACCGCCGCCCCCTGCCCTTTCGGAAGCGCCTATGTGGCCGAACGTTGTGGCCATAGGCTTGCCAAGCTATCGGACCATGTGTTCCCCGAATCGGTTTGGAAAGCTTTCGGAGAACACATGGGAGAGAATGAACATGAAGAGGCAAAGGAAGAGGCCTCTTGGGCCGTCTTTGGCCGTCGGAATGGCGAAAAGAAATGCATGCCAACATCCTTGAACCACTTAGGGCAAAATTGATGATGTTGGTCTCTTCGGGCCCTCCTGGAGGCATCTCGGGCCGTCTTGGAGGCCTCTTTGGGGCCTCTTGGGCCGTCTTGGGCAATATCGACGCCATGTTAGGCCGTCTTGGAGGCATCTTGGGCCGTGTTGGAGGTATATTGGGGGGCGAAACTATCGGACCATGTGTTCCCCGAGTCGGTTTGGAAAGCCTTCGCGGAACACGTGGGGGAGGAAGAGGAAGAGGAGGAGAAGGAGGAAAAAGGATAAGGGGAGGATGTCTCGTCGGAGCCTCGTAAGGCACTCTTGGGCTCGATTGGGGCATCTTGGGATCGTCTTAGAGGCCATGTTGGGGCTATCTTGGGCTATCTTGGGGCCTCTTGTGGGCCGCTTGGGGCCCTTCTGGGGCTTCTCGGGGGCCTCTTTGGCCGTCTTATGGCGTTCCTGGCCCGTCTGACGCCGTCGGGAGCCGTCTTGGGGGCCTCTGAACCGACTTGGGGTCCTCTTGGGGCGCTTCGGGGCCGTCTTGGAGGCCATCTTGGGCGTCTTGGAGGTCTCTTGGGCCATCTTGGGGCCCTCTTGGAGCCATCTTGGAGGCCTCTTGGACCGTTATAGGGCCCTCTTGGGGGCCTCTTGGGCGATCTTGGGGGCCTCTTGGGCCGTCTTGAGCCGTCGGAATGCCGAGAAGAAGCAAATGCCCAAATCCTCCAAACACCTAAAGAAAATCAATACTTTGGGCCTCTTCGGACCCTCCTGGAGGACCTCTTGGAGGCCTCTTGGGTCGTCTTGGGCCGTCTTGGAAGCTTCTTGGGCGAACTTGGAGATATTTTGGACTCTCGTGGGCCGTTAAGAGGCCGTCTTGGACCATCTTGGGCGGACTTGGCGGCCATCTTGGACCATCTTGGAAGCCATCTTGGGCCAACGTGGCCATCTTGGAGGCCATCTTGAGCTGTCTTGGAGGATTTGTTCCTGGATTGAGGTCCTTTCCGGGTGGCCGGCGGGACGCGCCGGAGCCCCAGGGGGAGTTCTTTTGGCAAAGAACCGAAACCAAAAACGATAGGATTTGGCACGCCAGACACCACTTGCAAGCAACAGGGGGCGGCGGATTGAATGGCCTTCGGTCCATCCCGCCACCATGCTTGCCTTGTGGGCCTGAGGCCAGTGGGATAGTTGTGTTCGCCGTGGACGCACGATCATCGAATGGCCTTCGGTCCATCCCGCAACCGTGCCTGGCTTGTGGGTCTGAGGCCCGTGGGATAGTTGATGGGGTCTCGTCGGAGGTTTGTCGGGGGGGCTTGGAGGCATCCCGCCACCGTGCCTGTTCTGTGGGGCTGAGGCCAATCGGATGGTTGATGGGTCTCCTGGGAGTCCTCTCAGGGGCGTCCTGGAGGCAGCTTTAGCCCTCTTGGGGGCCTCATGGAGGCCTTGTGGGTTTTTTGGAGCTCTCGCGGACTTCGCTGGGAGCTTTTCGGGCAAACTTGTGGGCGTCTCGGGGCCGAAGGCTCGAAATGTCCGTTCGGGTTCCCCATTCGGGCCCCTCTTAGGGTCGTTCTGGGGCCCTTTGGGCCGTCTTGGAGCCCTGTTGGGGGCCGCCTGGGCTGTTTTGGGAGCGATCTTGGGGGTTTCTTGGGCCATCGTGGTGATTGTGACAAGCCAATGTTTTAGAATCATAGGTTCTCCCGGGGGAATGGGAAGATTGCTGCTTCTTGGGGCCCTCTTGGGGGGCCTCCGGGAGCGTCTTGGCGGCATCTTAGGCCGAATGGGTGCCATCTTGGGCGTCTTGGTTCCATCTTTCGGCGACTCGGGGCCCTCTTGGACCGTCTTGGGGGCCCATTGGGGCCCTCTTGGCCCGATGTGAGACCCTCCGTTCCCCATTGGCGCGTTCAACCGGGGGCCGTCCCGGGCTTGGGGGGGGTCCAATTCGCGGTTTGGGGATTATGGGGGGAGACAATCTCACACGCCTAGAGGCCCACAAAGCGTCGGCGGATTAATCCTCACCCGATGTTATCCTCGTTCTGGCTTCGTGTCGGATGGGGGCGAAGAGTCATACAAGTAAATTTGCCAGACACGGCACAGAAACGCGCTCCACTGGCTCCAGCCAGCCGGCGGGAGCAGCCCCCCTCGTCGACACGGCTGGGCGCGGTGGCCCCAGGAGGTGTCCGGGAACCAATCTGGATGGGGCGGGTGGTAATGAGGGGTAGCCCAAATGGGGGGTTAAGGGTTAAGAAGAAGAAGAAGGTCATAAAGGGGCCCTTGCGGTTCCTTCTTGGAGCCAGCTGATGCCCAAAAGGGGCCCTAAAGGGCTTCTTGGGGGCTTTTTTATTCACCCCCCCTTTGGGTCACCCCATTGCAGTGGAAACCAATGCCAAGAAACACCATGCTTACCTCCAGGGTGCCCTGGATTTTTTGGATTTCGATGGTTTTGCTCTGGGAAGCGTGACGTTCCCGCCAAGAATCAGTGGACTTCCTGGGGTCTCAGGGTTGCACTTCTTGTGGAAGGCTTCTTGTGGTCGAGCTCCCACTGCACCGCTCGCCCGACTGGAGCGGATCCGCGCTCGTCTCCCCGTCTTGCCCGACGGGGGCGCGCGGGCACCGCGACGTCCCTAAAAAGGGGGGGGGGGGGCGGGCGCCTCGTTGGGGCAGGCTTCCCTAAGCTGCGGGGCTCGTCCTCCGACGGGCCGCCCGAGGCCCGAGCTCCGAGCCGAAGGCGCGCCGGCTCGAGCGAGAGCGACGGACCTCCTGACGCGACAGCTGGCGTTTGCTGCACGGCCCTGGGCGTTTAACTGAACTCACCACCCACCAAACCACCCCAACCCAACCCGAAGGCCTCAATTTATCCTCGATTTCCAGTGGGGGGGGGGTCGGGGAACGTTGAGAAAACACATGGAATCCGTACCCCCCCCAACCCGAAATTCGAGTCAAATTCGGGTCTTCGGGTTGGGTTGGGGTGGTCTGGTAGGTAGTCATGAGCAGGCCTGTCCTGTTCGATCCCTTCTGTGGGTGCGTCAGCCAAGCGGCTCCGCGTGCCCGGGTGATTACTACCGGGGGTGGGCTTTCTGCCCTCCGCAGGTGTCGAGGGGTTCGCGGCCAGGGTCCAGTTAGTCAGCACGGCCCTCAGCCCCCGCTCGTCCGCAAACGCATGCTTCGAGCCATGATGCGCTAACTAGCTTCTCCTCGGGCCGGGCGGCAGGGAGGGATAACGGGGAAAGGGGGGGTTACGAAGAGAACGCCCAGGGTTCACCAGGGACTGGTTTCCCCCCGAAGAAATCCACGAAAACCCTTGCAAAGGCCTCCCGAAACCCTCCTGAGACCCTCCCAGACCCCTTCCTGGAGGATTGTCGGAGGGTCTCGGGAGGGCTTCGGCCACTCCGAAAGGAAGCAGGGCTGAACCTCAACGGTGTTTTGGCGATTTCGTGGGCCGTGTTCGTTTCGATATCGTTTTGCGGTAAAGGCGGATTGAAGACAAAGAGGGGAAACGAAAACAAAACGAAAACGAAACACACCGTTTAGGAGGTTCAGCCCTGAAAGGAAGCCAGTCCCCAGCGAACCCGCGACCCTCTAAGACTGCGAACGTTGCTGCATGCCGCTGGTCTCTCAGTCCCGCCGCCGAGCGCCGTCCCTCGATACACCGGCGCCTGCGGGCTCCGGTAGGCGCCGAGGACACCTTGCGAGTTGAGTCTCAGAACTCCCCATTCAAGCAGTGACGAAGCGTCCTGGCGTGCCTCCAGGCCTACCAAGCAATGTTCTAAGAACCTCTTGTGGTTGCCACGACATGTTCTGAGAACATGTCTGGTTGGGACTGTCTTGTTTTAACACACCGGGAACAATTCTTTTGTTCTTCGAACATTTTGGGGTTCTAAGAATATTTCGTGGTAGGCCTGTAGGAATGCCGGGACGGTCAGTCACTGCTTAACCCATCTGGTATCCTTCGGTCGGGCACGTCCCTTTGCAAGAGGAAATTGCCAATGGCGACGATTGTTCTATTACTTTTTTTTAAAATAGGTTTGGAATATTTTGTTGGGGCTGTTTCTCATTTTCTGTTTTATAACCCGCCTGTAGGATGACGTGCCCAACCTAGCTTTCGTCCGACCCGACCCCTCTTCCTGGCCACCGTCCTCGGCTCACCCGAGCAGGGGCAGATCGACGCCGCGCGCGCGGAGCCGAAGGCCGACCAGCTGCTCGAGGCCCTCGACGTGAAGGTGTCCGACCGGCAGCTGCAGGCCGCGCTGGCGGAGGTCCGCCAGGAATCGGGGGCAACGCTCTTCGAGATCGGGGCGCCCCTTTTTTGTCACAGAACGGGCGCTTCCGCCAGGGGTCCGGCCCTGGGATCACCCTGGCCCCCGACTGCCCGCGCAGGTCGATCCAGCCTTCGAGAACACCACGGAGAGATGAGCTGGTGTCTATAGTGCTCCGGCTGTGATTTCTGAGGGTGTCTCAGGTTTCTCAGGAGGGAAAGAAACACACAGACACAATTAATCGTCCATCTCAGGAAAATATGTCAAAATATGGGAAGTGGGGGGGAAGACAAAAACCTAGAAAATATAGGAAAATAGGGGGACTCTTTTATTTGTGTGTATTTATTTGTGTGTCCTGGGGCCCCTTTAGTTTCCTGCGACGTCGGACCCCGGTGTCGCCCACCGATCGCCGACTGGGGCCCGACAGCCCCGCCCCGCTCGGGAGCCTGCGGCTTCGCTATGGGAGGGACATCGCCGCACTGTCGGCGAGGGATCGCCGACGCTACAGTCGAGGCAGATTAGGAGGTCGACCCTGCCAACTCCAGGGTACGTACTCCAGATTTCGTAATAGAAGGGAGGGGGTCTGGACCCTCCAAGACAAGCCATTTCAGACCTCCCCCGTGGGAGAACCCTCCAAAACATCATCCCCAGACCCCCCAGGCCCTCCAAGATAGCCTGGAAGAGACCCCCCCCGAAATGAGACCCCCCTCCCTTTATTACGAAATCTGGAGTACCTTTGTGTCCTGTGCCTCACGACCCATGCTTCTACATTCACATGGCAATGTGGCCCTCGGAAGAGTCTTGTGTCCTCTCGCGTGTCCTCTTCAATCCACCCCGACCGTGACTGACTGCGTGTGTCCGCCCCCCCTGAGCTCGGCACCTCCCAGGCATACTTGTACTAAATGGGTGTTGGCCGCGCAAGGGGCGACGCTCCGGCTCGGAAGTATTCTAGGGTAATCGCTCCGTGGTCTGCGCTCTCTGGCCATGCCGTTCAGGAAATTGTACATCATATAGTGGGGGCGCTCATCAAGAAACCAGATGCTGCTCGTCAGGGCATCCTTATGTTGCCCCCTATCGTACTTAGGGACCACATTCTGGTAGAACTAATGTCGAGCACTCGGAAAAGTGTCAAAACAGTGTCGAAGCAGTGTCGGACGAGTGTCTCCCAGGGCGCGCATCAAGGAACCATATGTCGGAGGTTGATAGAACTCCTGCCCTGACAGGTCGATTAGCGAATTGGCCGTTTTCGGTTCGTGAGAGGGCGTCGCGGGCGTCATTTTTGCGGGTCTAGGTCCGTCGGTGTCGGTCTTAGGCCAGTTTCACCCAGGGGAGGTTTACGAAAGGGAGGTTTGTCCACCGCCGAAAATGCTGTTCGTCAGGGTATCCTGGGTTTCTTCGCTCCGCGCGCTGCGCGGCGACTTCCCGCGGCCGTTGCGGGAGCTGCTGCGCTCAGGGTGCTCCAGGTGTTCCCATCGGTGCGCTTCGCGCGCGGGTTTTCAGGGTTGGGTGTCTTGCGAGGGTTTCTTGCGGCCGCGCCTGCACTGTATACGATTTTGAGTCACATGTTGGATTGAGCGCGCGTCTCCAGCAGAGGCACATACATAACTCCGCGAAGCTAGAAGCAAATTTTGCCGACCCCCCCATCGCCCCCGATTTCAATGTTCAGGTGCGCGCGCGGCACGGTCCGCGCACGCCGACTCAATGTTTGAAGTCAGTTGTTCTACAGTCAAACAAACAACTGTGGGTACGGGGCTGCGGACGCGGCGCAGGACACATTTGCGTCAAGAGTTGTGGGGGGATGTAGTACCGGTGCGTACGTCTTTATGCGTCCCATGAGCCGGTCCCCTCCCTGACGCTGCCCTTCTCAGGAGGTGCTTGGGGTCGAGCGCGGCGTGGGAGGGCGCCTGTGCGAGGTGGGCGCCGCGGTCTGTGCCCTGAACGAGGAGGCCCTCGCCTCCCGCGGCTTCCGGGAGCGATGCCGCCCATTATTATTTGGCTGTTGCTGCTGCTGCCAGCTGTAGCTGGGGCCCCTCCGCATCCTCCTCCTCCTCCTCCTCCTCGTCTCCCTCCTCTTCTCCCTCCTCCTCCATCTCCTCCTCCTCCTCCTCCTCCTCCTCCTCCTCCTCCTCCTCCTCCTCCTCCTCCTCCTCCTCCTCCTCCTATTTTTGTTTACGCTGGTCAGACATGAAGAACTGGGTTTGTTGCGTCGTCGTCCTCCTCCTCCGCTCTTTTACGCTGATCAGACATGAAGAGATGGGCTTGTTGCGTCGTCCTCCTCCTCCTCCTCCTCGTTTGACCAGACATGAAGAACTGGGCTTGTTGCGTCGTCCTCCTCCTCCTCCTCATCCTCCTCCTCTTCGTCCTCCTTCCCCTCCTCCTCGTCCTGAGGAGGCCATTCGAGTGATATCCCCCACGAGGTAACACGTCCCGACAGAATTGGTTGGTGGTCATCCTTGGGTAGTCCTCCTCCTCCTCCTTCTCCTCCTCGTCCTCCTCCTCCTTCTCCTCGTCCTCCTCGTCTTCCTCCTGCTCCTCCACGTCTCATTCCTATGGAGGAGGAGCAGGGGGAGGAGGAGGAGTAGGAGGGTGCTGTAGAGGAATAATGATGTTCCGCGATTGGTGGGACCCCAGTCCTTCAATAAGGTTGTCGAAATGCTGCTTTGTTTCTTCTGCCGGGGGGGGTCTAAAGACCCTTCAGGGTGACCCTTGCCTTCCTGGACATCCCCTGCCCACGCTTGACCGCTCTGGGTGACGGCCAGCCCCGCTCGAGAAGCCTCTGCAGGGGCGTCCAGTTGCCCCTTGCACCCCTATCGCGCCTCCTTGCTGTGTGTTCTGACTGCACTTCGCCTCTGCATCCGGGCGGCCCCCCGCAGGAGGGCCTGGAGGCCGCGGGCGGCATCGGCGGCCTGGCGCGCCGCCTCGGGGACGTGGAGGCCCTGACAGCCGACCTCTGCTCTCGCCGCGTGGCACCCCTGCCCGGGTAAAACGACGCGAAGATCGGGACAAAGTCGGATCGGGATAACTCGAAATCTCTGAGAATCGGCGGGTTTGGAGGATGTATTGGGCGCCGCGGCCGCTCCAGAGCGTTCCGGAACGCTCTGAGAGCGCTCCGGAACGCTTTGGAGCGATTTATCCCGATCCTAGCCCTGTTTTACCGGGGAGAGGCGCTCCATCCGGAGTGCAGCGGGAACCCATGCCAAGAAACCCTCTGCTTGCCTCAAGGGTGCCCTGTGGGTTTTTTGGGGGGCTCGGTGGTCTTGCGATGGAAAGCGTGGCGCTCCCACGTCACAAGTCAGTGGACGTCCTGGGATCTCAGGGTTGGGTTTCTTGTGGAAGGCATCTTTCCCGCGAAGACTCCCTGGTGCCGAGAACGGTCAAGAACGTTTCGCGAGGGCTGTTAGGAGCCACAGGCTCAGAAAAACTTCCCGCGAGTGCCCCCAGATACCCGAAACTATGAAAGACTTCCCGCGAGGACCCCCAGAGGCCGCAAATGGCTAAGAACCTTTTGCGAGTGCTTTCAGGAGCCACAGCCTGAGAAAAACGTCCTGCGTGGGCCACCTGCGGCCGAAAGCGAAGACAACTTCCCGTGAATGCTTCCAAAGGCAAAACAAAACATGGAAAATCATGCCGTGAGGTACACCGAGAAGTGAACTTTGCTGGAATTTTGCCTTATGTGGGGCCCAGAAACCGAACACCGCAGAAGCCTTACCGCGGGAACTACCGGGGGGCAGAACAGTCAGAAACATGTCACACGAGGACTCCACTAGGCAGAAACATTTGAAACAACTGCATGAGAGCTCCCAGAGGCTGACAGCGGCGAAGAACGAAGAACTTCCCGTGAGGGCCCACCAGAGGTTGATAATTTCGGAAAACCTTTCGTGGTGAGGGCCCCCCCACAGGCAGAAGCCATAAGACAATCATCTCGAGAGGGCATCAGAGAGGTCGAGCAATAGTTTTGAACCTCACATGAGAGCTCCTAAGACGCAGAACATCGTGATACTAATCATTACTAAAAAAGGAGTTCCCCACATAATGATGTTATCGAGTTAGCGGGATAGGGGGGGGCGCCAAATGCCTCAGTGGGCAGCGTGGCGGGGCCTCCGTGGGCGAAGTCGGAGCCTTTTGGGCAGCGTCTAGGGCCTCGCGGGGCCTCCCTGGAGGGGTGGGGGGGGCACGAAACCGTGTAAATGATGTGTGGTTCCCATGCAGTCCTCGCTCTGGCGTGGCCACCCTGGAGGGGTGGAAGGGGCAAGACGCCGGGTAAATAATGTGGTTCCGATATCTTCCTCGCTCTGGCGGGGCCTCCCTGGAGGGGTGGGAGGTGGGAGGGGCACGAAACCGTGTGCAGAATCTAATGTTTAGATACCGTCCTCGCTCTGGCGGGGCTTCCCTGGAGGGGTGGGAAGGGCACAAACGCCGAGCAAATTATGTGTGGTTCCAATACCGTCCTCGCACTGGCGGGGCCAACCTGGAGGGGTGGGATGGGCACGAAAGCGTGTAAATAATATGCGGTTCCGATACTGTCCTCGCTCTGGCGGGGCTCGGAGGGGGACGAAGCCTTGTAAATAATGCGCGGTTCCGGTACCGTCCTCGCTCTGGCGGGGCCACCCAGGAGGAGTCGGATGGGCACGAAGCCGTGTAAATAATGTGTGGTTATGATATCGTCCTCGCTCTGACGTGTCCACCCTGAAGGGGTGGAAAGGCACGAGTAGTAGTAGTAGTAGTAGTAGTAGTAGTAGCAGTCGTAGTAGTAGTAGTAGTAGTAGTAGTAGTA